GAACTGAAAAAATGCAAATCTATGCTAATGTTTTCTTCTGAACCACAGAGGTACTGCTGGTTACTGGAACTCTTCGATATTCTTTTCCTCTCTTGATGTGTACTGGATCTTCAAATGCTTTGCTAGCAGAATTCTGTGCACAGAGTAAAGAAGGGTCATATATTGTGCAGCTTGTGGAAGCAGAGGCCTCCCCCACGGATTTCCCTGCGGAGTCCCCCACGTTGTTAGTGCTCGGATCACCAAGGAGAGGGGATGCAGGAGAGCCCTGCTCCAGCCTGCCGTGTTCTGTGCCGTGGCTGTGGATGGAATTTGCTCTGCAGAGGAAATGTGACAGAGCAAACACAGCGTGTTGTAAGGTCCCCGCAAGGAGGATGAGACTCCTGCCTGCTCCTCTGCAGGCCCTGTGAAATGCCAGGTATTTATGCAGTGCCAATGTCTGGCCTGTCCCTTGTGAGGAGCCACGGTGGCCACGGCTGTGCCAGCTGCCTGTCCCGCTCTGCCAGGTCCTCCAGTCCCATTTGATGACATCTCCGTGTGGAATCCACCTGTATCGTTTTCCTTTTAGGGCACTCAGCAAGAGCAGTCTTGCTTTTGTTTTTTGCACTGTTTCACTTTTTCCATGTAAGAGCCCTTAATTGACAAAGGAAAGATTTTCTCATTTAAAATTGTGCAGTTCAATTGCACATTACTCACAGGAAAAGGATTGCCTCTTTATTTGCATGACTGACTACCCAGCACAAAATGATATCAATTACTATAAATATAATTGCAAGTTGTTGGCCTTTCTGACCTTTTAAAATCCTTTTGAATTTTTATTTTGGAAACTGTAATATTTGTAATACTTCCTCTCTGCAGAAAGTGAGTCTTAGTGTTCGTATTTACAGGCTGTAAAATGATACCTTCAGCTGTGTGTTTATCTTAACTGCACTCTTTTAGAGTCTTAAAAAAAATCATTTTCATGAAATGACCCTTTTCATTTAGAGTAAATTGATCTTTCTTATGCTCCCTGTTGGTTTGTTATGATGGAGAAAAATGACATTGCAATGACATATTCATCCATTTATCTGCCAAAAACATTCCAAGGACCAATGAGTGCCAGCAGAGTTCTGGGATTAACATGTATTAGGAAATATATACTCCCTTTGTTGTCATTGTATGTCTGTCTGCTGAACAACAGGCAAATTAATTAAGAGCTTTTCATATACAATAGCTGTTTTTAATATCTGAGCCTCAAATACTAAATCCCCTTACATAATAATAATAATAATAAAATGCATACTGGAGTGGTTTGTATTGAATAATTTATAATCTCCAGGTCAATAAAGTCACTTGACATGAGGCATTGATAGTTCATCTTTAAAGCAACTGTACTGCAGTCCAAGATAAGGAGCAGATACCTTTTGTTTGATGAGAAATTATTAGAAAGTGTGGCCCTTTGATTTTGCTCGTGTTCATGTAGAAATGAACATTCATGCTAATACTTCAGACACCGGTTGCATTATCAAGGTCAGGCAGAGCCTTCTGACTTTGACCAGTGCACACTTAGCAATTGAAAGAAAATTAATCCGTCATACAAAATTGCATATACAAGATTATTCCGTAGTCTGTAAAACTGTCCATCATCTGAGGCAAAATGAGTTCTGGAGTAAATTGGTTTAATAAAAAAATGAAAGCTGTAAATGTCATCAGGTTTATCTTAGGATGGCTTTCCTGTCCCTGGTGAGGAAGACAATTGCTGTTTAAATCACAGAGCAGCAGCTTCTGTTTTCAGTTAATGCACAGAGTTCAAAGGAGGTAGGCCAAAATCCATGCAGCATGAAAATAATGAACCCCAGGCTTTAGAAGTATTTCAAGTTTTACTGAACTTTTAGACTTATACCTGAGTTACCTTGGTATTTTTCTAACTCCTAAGAAGATCTCGTCCTGCAATGTTGGGGTAACGAGTGCAGGATTTAACTGTTTATCCACAACCATTGAAATCAATCAGCTTGGTAAGATCTATAGCTCTACACTGGATGTCACAGAAATCTCAACTGTTTTTATCTAGGAAGCTGAACTGATCAGAAATATCCAGGAACTCCTGAAGAGAACTTTGATGCAAGCTGTTAACCAGATGCGGTGAGTTGGTTTTCACTGTTTGTTAGTAGTCACTTTATATTGGCAAAGAATTCCTTCTGTAGCCCCTCTGCCCAAAGTGGATGAAGTTTATACCAATGCATGGCTTAAAATCTGTATGAATTGCATTTAAACTTCTCCAATATATAGTATAGTATAATAATATGCTATTTTACAACAATTTGTCCGACTGCAAGGCCATTTTGACCTGAGCTTTTTGCCACCAGATGTCAGTATGAATGTAAAATATGAAAACTCGCTCCAGCTTCCCTGTCAATATGAATGTTCATTGCATTTCAAAAGCAGTATTTGCTTTTAGTTTATAATGAACCCGTCAGAAATAAGGTGTTAACTGAATTCCAAGGTGAATCAACATGATGGGATTAACTGATAGAAACCTTCGTATCTTACGGTTTTCAGTTTGTTCCAATTTTGTGATATTCTACCAGAAAAAGAAATATGTAGTTTTTATAAAGAATGTCTATAAATACATAATAATTTAATGTAGCTCAGTTACAGCAGAAAAGTAATAACTGAGTTTCAGCTTCACATTTTGTAAGTAATACATTTAAGATCATTTTTGTACCACCTTTGGCTGGCTGAGTCTTTTCAATTCCTTAGGTGATAGTGACATCTGCTGTTAGCAGTAGATAAAGAGCAGCTGTTTTTGATAACTTAAAGTCATTCTGATTTATCTGACTCATTCAATAGAGAACGGGGCAGTGACATTAATAGTGAATGTCAGTGTTTGTGTATTTTCCAAGGACAAACCATGCCACAGTCTATGGAAGGCTGGGTGGGTGGGCTCAGAGAATGTCACAGGGTGCCTTTATGGTGCTCTCAAATTGTACCAGGACCAAAGCACTAGGGAAAGGGGAGGATGAACCCCCATTAGCACCCTATGTCTCAGGGTGATAAGAGTGTTCTGCTGGGGAAATCTGCTTCTTTTCCTCCCTGTCATAATTGCAGCTGTAGCCACTACTTATAGAATCCTCTTTGTTTTAGAATTAATCTGTAAAATCCAAGGTCCAACGACTCCCCTGTGTCAGGCTATAAGAGCTCTAAGCCTTCAGTAAGCACCAGGCAGAGCTGAACATTTAGACCAGTGGTTAACACACTGGACTTCCTTTCCTCCTAGCAGATGGTTATGAGAGACAGAGTTTGGTTAGGATTTGCAAGGAAAAAAAGGAAAGTTTACTTAGTGTTCTGTGACAGACTGAGGCTTAGAGCCTAGCTTCATAAATGCCTGTGATAATTTTGCAGAATTATATTGTTTTCCACTGGAAATGTGTGATAATAATGCTTTTTGTAGATTAAATCGAGATCAGAAAGAGGTTTGTGAAATGGACTGGTCAGACAAAGTCGAAACGTACAACATCGATGAGAAATGTGGCAGATACAATAACCAGAGTACCAACATCCAGTTCCACCCTGGCTCCGTGAAGTTTGAAGAGAGGTGGGTACTTCCTGCTATTATCCTCTGCCAATGATCCTGGTGAGGTAGGATATATCCGTGGTGTCAGTGAAAGCCATAATGCTGCTCTGAATTAACGGCGTGATTGCAGAATTGAAGGTGTGATTGCAGATGTAATGTCACAGCTTTAAAACAGCAGCATGGATAGCAAAGGTAATGCTCCTGTCTCAGCATGCAGCCCTGCTGACAGCAAAGTGTGCCCACTCTATGCAGATTGAGTCTGTAGAAATCTTCCCCTAAAATAATTGCCTGCATACTTCTGAAAGCTAATCTAAATCCTGTGGAGGCATCAGTGGGCCATTCTTTTGGGAAAGGTGCGTGCAGAGGATTAGTCTTACTTGCAATGAATCTTGCTGCTTCGCCCTCCCCTTTCAGGCAGTATTGACCTGACACAGTGTTCCAAGAGCTACGTAGTTTCTTCTGTTGCTCAACACCACAAGGTATAACCAGATATCCCGTTGTATACACAGACTGTAAAGCTTAAATGTATTCATGTTTTGCTTTGCTGGTGACTTAACAGTGCTTGTAGTTAGTAGCTGTATAGTCTCCTCAGTTATATGAGCTAACGGGAAAGAGCTTCAGCTGCATTACTTCCGGCAAGCCACAGGGTGAATGAGAGTTTATTACTTCTATATTGATTTTTTTATATTCCTTCATGGCAACACTAGACAGCCGACAACGTAGTAAAAGAAAAGAAAAAAAAAAAAAAAGAGAGAGAGAAAGAAATAGTGGCTTGACAAAATTTTTTCAGGGGGACAAACAGCTTCAAATTGTCATCTCCAATGCAACTTGAATAAAAGAAATTTTATACTGTTCACCTCTTCTTGCAGTGCCTCAACACCAGAGACATGGTCAAAGTTCAGTCACGACAACATTTATAGGGCAGAACGAGAGAAAATGGCTTCCATCAATCTCCGTGCCCTGATTGACAGTGTTCTCCAGGACGTGTCTGAGGACCTGCGCGCGCAGTGCGCCGCGGTCAACGGGGCTTTTGCCAAACGCTGCGAGGAGCTGGAGGATGCAAAACACAAACTAGAGTTTCACTTGAAAAACGTAAGTGTTCCCGTTGGAATGCTGGCTAATGATGTGATAACCTCCTTGGAGAGAATCACAGTGGAATTGTCCTCTAGGAAAAACTAGATACTAGATTATCCATTCTCCTCAATATGAGAGTAGCAAGAAATAGGTGAAAAACACTTTTGTGCTTCAATTTCTCCTATATTCTGGCCAAATAAGGAATCAAAGCTATAATTAGAGCCTGAAACAGGTGCACAGTATACACAGAGGCAAGAATATTTTATTAAACAGTTCTTTTTTGTGGATATCCTCTTCAGACACTTAAGGAGATTGGAGATCAAGAAGCTAACATTGCTGCTCTCAAACAAGCTATCAAGGACAAAGAAGCCCCAATGAAAGTTGCTCAAACAAGGCTGTATGACAGATCTTTTAGGCCCAATGTGGAGCTCTGCAGAGATCCAGCACAATTCAGGTAAGGATTAATAAAAAATTCCTCCATGATGTGCATTCTATCCAGAGGCAGTCAGACAGCTTTTGAACTTATTATTTGCAACACATACCCTTCAGCTCTTCATTACTAAGCTTGATTCTGGTATTTTAGTCAGAAATAATTTCCCTGACTGAAATCACTGCAATATACATATCATTTTAACCTAAGGAATTGAAGAATCTATAGACACGACTCTGCCTTTTGGCAGCACTTTCTCCTTTGAACCGTGTGATTTCTTTTCCGATTTAGAAGGTCCAAAAAAGCTTGACAGCATGAGGATAATTTGCAGCCCCTTTGTTATTAGCAAAAGTTTACCACAAGGTGGACCATATGCACTGACTAAAATATGTTCAAGTGCTGAGACTGTAAATAGTCCGTGCATATCCATGCACTGAGAAAAATCCTCAGTTCCTCTGAAGTATTGGGCTGATGGGTGTTTGGCTTTCAGTAATAATCCATTTTAAAACTGGCGGTCAATAAATCCTTTCAAGTTAAAGGTCTGAATGACACATTTGTCACTTCTGATCTCATTACAGGCCTTGTAATTGATTCTCCCCCTTCAATAATTCCTGCCTTTATGAAAAGTAGGGGATAAAAGCTTACAACATGCTGGTAGCAAAAATGCCTGCTATTCAAAGCCAGTACGCTGTTCTTCACACACTGAGCAAGAAGCCACGATTAATCCAAATGCTCTTTGCTTTCTGAGGCATGCTCATTTAGGTCCTGATTCAGCAAATCATCACTGTGCTAGCTTTCTAGTATGTACATTGCCTTTAATGGGATTTAAGGACAAACTTAAAGGGTTTTGCTGAATGGTCATGTGTTTAAGTGCCATGCTTATATAGCTTCAAGTTATTCAGTGCCCTGTAGCGCATCTGGGTCTTGTTTTCCCAGGAAATACGTGAATTCTGTAAAGACAGAGAACGCAGTAAAGCCCCAATCCCCGTAGGCTTTCAATTAAAATGATGTGCTGCTTTCTTATTGACAGCCTGTATGTTTTTAAACTAAGGACTGATCCCTGGTACATCAACATACATCTGGTATAATGCTCATCATTAATACTCGAGTTTTATACCATTGAACAGATGTAGAAATCTAGGCTGAAAGCAAGCTGATGCGATCAAACTGGGTGACTCATCTAGCAGTTTCTGCTCTGTAATTCTTAGTAGAAGCCTCCTGCACAATGGGAGGGTGCTTAGTGGCAAAAGCATTCCATACTGTGTAAATTATGAGAGAGTTCTGTAACAAAAACTATGCAGGTGAACTGTGTTTTCAGCTAAGCAGGGATGTCATTCACATCCCTGAGTGCTGCAGGCCAAGGTCTCCAGCACACATCAGCTCCTCTTCAGTGCTTTGGGATCCAAACTTTCTTCCTTTTATGGAGCATAATTATTCAATAGTTATTGATCTTTATTCCCATAACAGTTCATTTGTCTTTGGGACTGGCTTCCCCTCAACTTTGTATTGTGTAATTCTATTCAGGCTGATCAGTGAAGTTGAAGAACTAACGGAGTCCATTGAGTCTTTGAAGAAAAAACTGCTAGAATCTGAACAGTCTCTGAGGAACCTGGAAGACACACGGATGAATTTAGAGAAAGAAATAGCTGTGAAAGCAAACAGCATTTTTATTGATAAGCAGAAGTGTATGGCCCATCGCACACGCTACCCTGTTGTTCTTAAATTAGCAGGTTACCAGTAGTAATCTTTGTACTACGTATATAAAATTTGGAAGAAAAGTGTAGTCTATAATCTTTCATATAAAATACATGGATAATACTATATGTAGAAATATTGCATTTCCTTTATTTGGGTCAAAATGTGTTAGTCTAATTTGGCTGTTGTTGGGTCTTGCCTTTGAAAGTCCATTCTACCTGGTGCAGATATTTATAGCCATTTTAAAAAAAAATGTTTTAAAGGTGAATAATGTGTATTGTGGATAATAATGTCACATACAGATACAGATACTGACATAGAACGTTTCTAGTTTTCCAATATATTCAGGTGACCTGAAATGAGAGCAGTAACAGTTCTTGCCTGGCAGTAGATCATTTGATTAGCAAGGAAACAGAGTAAAGACTTTTAAGCTGCTCAAACATTATTAGGAAAAAGATACTTTGCACAGGTTGGATGACAATCTGACCATTGGCAAAAACACTCATGAATGGGCTCATTCATGGAGCCCGTGACACCTGCTTATCTGATCTGAAAATGAGTCCAAGGATTTTTTCAATTCAATTCAGTTTGTGGGGTTTTTTCAGGAGAAAAAAAAAGAGAGAGAGAGAAAAAAAGGGAAAAAACCCATAAACTAAACAGCTTGTGAATAGCAATTGTGCTTTTCCACTTAAGCACTTGGTTATTGAATTGAGCTCTTGATCTGTTCCAGCTCTTCCCTGGAAGCAGGGCATGTGCTTGAACTGTTACTCAGAAAGGAGAACGCATCAGGTTCATCTACGTGGAGCCATGCAGCAATTGTCATTCCTCCATTAGCTTAGCAGGCCACTTGGTTGAATTTGTGACATGCGTCAAAACCGGGAAAAAATGACACATAACAGAATTCCATTATGGTTACCTGTTTTACATCTTTTCCCTTTTAAAAGGCAGCTGACCAAAGAGGAAAAAAATCCCACTTAGCCGCTGTGCAGTTCCAAAGAGCTCTGCTCAGTTAGCAGAGCAGGAGAGGCCATTAGCTGATCTGCCTTGCTCGCAGGCAGCTGTTTGGATCATCTCCACGCAAGATGTGCACAGCAATATTCTGCAACTGCCCTTTTGTCAGGAGCTACCACCATTTCCTTGAAAACCAGCCGTGTCAGTGAGGGCTTTTGACCCAGCCCTGCATTTTGCAGGTTTTTTGTTCGAGGGTTTTGTTTTGCTTTTCTAAATAGATTTCCTCTTGGCGATTATTTTTTCATAGTCCAGAGGTCAAATCATAATTAGGCAGAGATGGTATAGAGGTGAAAAAAAGGAGAAATGGCTCTTCTAGTGCACATAACTTGAAATGGTTACTAAAGGTGGCTGTTACTAAAGCAGCGTATTTTAGCCCATGGTTCATGCTCAAATCCTGCAGCCTGACAGAGCTTCACACACTGTGCACAGCTTCATCATTGCACAATTGTATGTAAAATCCATATTAACTGCACCAGAAGGGTAAAACACTTCAATGGGAATTGCAGGTTTCTGAGCTATGGGGTTAGAGGAACTCTGGTTATTCAGTCCCAGCCTCTAGACAGTGCTGCTTACTTGGTGGCACGTCCATCTCCGGGTGTTCAGCTAAGACAGAATACTGTAAATTAAAGGGAATTTCCACAGAAACTTTTCAGAAAGTGCAGAAAGGAGCAACATGTTCAAGTTGAGCATCCTCCCTAACTAGAAACAAAACCTTCCTAGGTTTCCTTGCTCCCCATTAAGACTCTTAGTCAGAATGCAGTCTTCACTGTGCTTATCTATATTGACCTGATTATCTCAAAATTCCTATCTTTTAGAAAAAAAAAACAGAACTGTGAACTCTCCTTGCTTGTTGGCCCAACACCTGTTAGAGAACAAGAATGGAGATGTAAATCTCTGGCACAGGGCAGGAAACTAAAGCAGTTGAGGTCAGAGTGGAACTTGGGCTACAGTTAAGGCGAATGAGTCCCTGGGAACACTCAGTCCAGGACCTGAAACTATTGTTTTGTTCTGAGAGTTTTGCATTAGAGAGAGAATAATAGAAGCACTGTTATCTTCTCTGAGTATTGGGTACAAATAATCTTCTGCCCCATATTGGGCTGTAAATAGAGCTTTCCTTAATTAACATATTTCAATTTTATTTACCTTTCTGAAGTAAATTATTCTATCTTACTTTAGGCCAGTCAAGGAAAAAATTTGCTCTGGTAAACCATTGGCAAGAGTGTAATCACTGCCCTATTCACATGATAATAGATGCATACATGCAAGTTGTAAAACTACGAATCAGGTGGAATAGATTCCAGTTCAATCTCCATCAAAACTTAAGGCACTCGGGGTGCCACAGAGTAAGAACGGATCCGGTGGGATGCCGATGCCTTTAATTCCCACTAGTGTCAGTTCTCTCATAAGGAATGACGGCTGCCTCCGGACCACGGGCAGACCGCAGAGCTGAGTATTTCCCTCTCGGAACAACAGCCTGTTTTTACCATTCTGTGGGTGAGGAATGAAGACGTTTCCATGACAACCTCACTACAGCATCCTTATTTCAAGAAGTCGTGTGTGTAGAGAGATATTCCGACTACTACTACCTGTTACGTGTCCCAGGCACACGCACGCTAGAACCAAAAGTGCCTCTTAGGTTTTCTTTAGACGGACAAGAAGAGGATAGAGTCAGTAATCAGATAGCTCTTCTGAATTGAGCAGGAAAGCTCTTCAGAATTCTTCCGTATTCAGAATTCAGAATCTTCAGAATTCAGCTCTTCAGAGACAGATTTCACCCCAAATGCTCACAACAATCACAGCTCCCCACTGCGCTTATGGAACGTGCTTCAGTGTGCCTGGCGTGCAGGCTGTGCTGGGAAACGCCTTGTTTTGGGAAACGGGGCAGGACTTGGGCTGTTTGCCTGCGATCCATTTAATTGTCCTGGGGACAGCCTGGGTGCTCGTGCACCTCCGGCCACAGGAGCCTGGCAGTTCCTTCTTGCAATTCACCCCCCGTTTCCTTCTTGCAATTCAGCTACATGAAACATACTAGGTCTGTGCTTGTGATTCTTCTTCTTATAGTGAAACTAAGTTTTATCTTTAAATTTGGAAAATGAATAAAAAAAGCACAGACCCTAAGTCAAGTCTCCATCCTGAGTCATCCTGAGTCATGAAAACAAGACGAAGGGGAGCAGGACCAGCATTGCTCAATACCCCATCAAAGAAAATCCCTGGGTTTTGCAGAGTTAAATCAGTGCTAACACCCCTGTCCTTCTCAGTATGGGGAAAGCACTGCTTTCCTTCCCACAGTGCTGCTTTCACCCCCATCTTTTCAATATTTCACTCGTGTGCAGAAACCGAGAGAGCCAAGAGATGGGTCACTAGCCTCTAAAAGCATGAAAATGAAACAGTCAGCTCTCATTTCTCCTCTGCCTCTCCCTCCTGCTCCTTGCTTTGGGATTGCTTAGATATAATGTGCTTGAGACTGTGGCACATTTTATGAGCACGGCTTCAGCATATGAGCAATTACCTCAGCTCTGCTGGCATTTAGTCAAGCCATGCCCTGCTCCCATGGATGTTCCCTCAGCTGAGAACATTATCTGCCCAGTAATTGCAGGAAGAGACAGTATAAAGCGTGGGCTATCTCGAGCCAAGATCCCTGACATTTTATGACAACATTTTTTGCCTAAGGATAAATTCAGATCTGTGAAACTGAGGGGATGATCATGAACTTTCTAAGCTCCTGTACATATGAATCAGCTCCAGGCTGTCATTTGTGAGAGAGTTCTTAGATTTCTGATTATGTATTTCAAGAGCTGTAAACCAAAAGTTTTGTACTGGCAAAACAAACCCAGCTTGCAAGCCTCTCTCATGGTCTTGGCTTCGCTGTCAAAAGGCAGGTGGGAGGTGGATGGAGCAGAGAGCCCCAGAGAGCCGCAGGATTGTTGACCTGAAACTGTCTGGATCAAAGCCAACCCCCCGCAGAAGGCTGAAAGCCACCAGTGCACATGGCGAAAAGCCTAAATTTGCCCATGATGCTTTTTGAGAGAGGATAGATTGGCAGAGTGTGCAAGGGGATAGCAGGGTGGTCATCCATCAAAAAGTACACAGGCCATTTGAACGGCATTTGGAGATGCAGCAAATACTGCTTTTTTCCCAGAAAGGTGTCACCTACCATGTTTTCAAGCCACAGGGAATAGCAGAAGAGGCTGATAAAACCACTGAGGTTAAGTATAAGAGTGTGCTTTTCGAGTGTAAGTTGTTTTCTTTACTTGCAAATGTTTATAGTTTCTCCCTCCTTAACTAGCTCCTTTCAAGAGCTTATTAATGGCTGAATCATTCCTGAAGAGAATTAAATCAGCCAGAACTGAGTCAAGGCTCCTGAGCAGCTCAGGGGAGGCAGGATGGGCAGAGTGAAGGGAGAGACTGGAGACAGGGACTTCTGACGAGCTTAACCTGTAGCTGCCCATCACAACGGGGAGCTTGAGGAAGCGATGCTTGTGGAGGGACCTGCTGATCTGGGAACTGCTGCTTCTGCCAGAGCAGAGAAACGACCTGCTGCAGTGCGAGTCCTCCAAAGGGCTGCACTCAAGGTACTCCAGATCCCTTTTTCCTCCGTCTTATGTGACCCGGAGGTCCCTCAGAGCCTGTCGGGGCACCTCTGGCCCAGGTGGAGCTTGGCAGAGCTGCCCTGCGTGCCCTGTGCCCTGGGGACAGCTCAGACCAGGCACTGGCCAAGCCATGGGCAATGAGCTGCCCTGCTCCAGGGTGGACGCAAGGGTTACAGACCGAACACACTGAAATCCACAGAAGTCCTTGGCTGAATTTCCATTTCATAGACTTATCCCATAATGATGGAGTACCTTGCTCAGATGTGGGCTTGTGATTAAGGATTGCCTTCAGGCCTTGTAAATAGGAGATCATTTTTATGATTGCAGCACTGTATGAGCTCTTCATAGGAGAGGCTTTTAAAATCCAAATGGGTTCAAGCATGTGATAGATTAATGTGGGTCTGCATGCATCTGTCTCAGTCTGCAAATTCCAATTTATTTTGCT